TGCTGCGGCGCCCGGCCGGGAAGCAGCGAGGGGACGGGACGCCGGGCGGGGTGGAGGCATCTCCCCCACCTTCCTTCTGACCGTGGCGCCTGTTGCTCCCCTGAACGGCGACAGCACGGAGGAGATCTCAAGCGCAGGACCAGAGCAGGCATTGGCTGTCTCGTCGGGCTGCGTTCCAGAGCCCATGGCAATCACGCTCTCCAGTGAACTCCAGCAGATTTCAGTCTTTTTTCCTGCTCTTACTGGTCTCTGCTGGTCTCCCTTGCTCTCTCCTGACCTTCACATCAGTTACTTCCCTTTAGCTCCCCTCTCCCTTACACGCTCTCCCTGGGACACCTCGCCCCTTCCCTCCTGCCTGTGGTGTAGCTGCTGTGCCTCAGCCCTCAGGCCTCGCTGCCTTCACCTGGCGCTGGTCGGCCCTCTGGTGCAGACACGCCGTCTGCCTTCCCTGTCGCGGGCATTATCAGAACGCTCCCCTCTTGTCTGAGCAGGAACGGGGCAGGAACAGGTAATTTTTACCCACTTGGAGGCTGCTGTTCGCTTCTGATGGCGATGCCTGTGGAAAGCAGCCCTGTATCTGGAGGCAGAATGCAGCCGCCTAAACAGGAGTATTACATCAGCTCCGCGCTGCTGGGACGGTTTCAGAACGCCAGCATTTTTTAACTGTAGTATCAGTCTGGCCTTAACGAGAGCTGTGATTAGATACCCGCTTTTTCAGTCAAAGCGGTTTTGTTTGCAGTGCTGCCCTGTACGGCATTTTGTGCCGCAGCCTGACATTCCCTCCCATGCCCGCTGCTGCTTTGGGCCGTGACTCACACTTGGCCGGTGACCCTCTTCTTGCCAGCACAGCCAACACAAAGCCAGCCCGGCGCAGCAGCACTGCTCGACGCAGGGAATGCCTCAGCGGGGAAGGCCCTCCAGGGGAACCGGCACCTTGCCTGCCTGCGGAGGAGAAAGGAAGGAGTTTTCTTCCAGCCCAGTAAGGGCAGCTGCCCTCTCCAGAGCGGGGATGCAGCCACAGCTATGGCCCTTTGTCACGC